ATTTTAAAAGCCCTTTTTATTGAGACATTCAAAAACTACGAAGACACAAGGTTATGCTCAACATTTTACGAGTGTTAGAAAAAAATGAAAAAAAATAAAAATTAACTGCAACATAAATTTAAAACAACAACCCACAATCAAAACATCAACCGTAGATTGCCAACATCATCGACTGTGCATAGGACCTCATTAATGCCCCAAATGCTCACAAACTCTGGCAACTTCCCCACCAAATTATAGTAAGCATGCTCATTCTCAGCTGTGCAGCCACCAACCCCAGGACACAGCCACCACGTCCACGCTCCCTGACCCAGCATCTGGTTCTTTCTTGTCTTCCAGATTGCTAGCTTTGCTGTACCAGATAAAAAGTTTAGTAAAACTAGGACATTTTTCCTCCTTACTGTGTATTTGGGCCCAAAATAAAAAGCTGAAAGGAGAAAGCCTCACCAACGACGAGAACCATTCGGTCAACAAGGAGAACAAATCACCCAACCGAGCGCACTGCACAAACAAATGAAAGAGAGACTCAATTTGTGGGCAAAAGAGGCAACCCTCCCCAATATTTGGATCGAGATGCACCCGATGTCTGTTTGTAGCTATGGCTCCATGTACAATCCTCCACTGGAGGTCAGCTGTCCGTTTATCAATCGGACGCTTATACAGAACCCGCCAGCAGCCTTTCGGGGAGGAGTCAGTGCCAAACAACTCAGACCACCTTGTTGATAAAACTCCATCCAGAAAGCGTGCCTGGGACACCTTCACACATACCAAGTACAGTGTCTTCTTTCCAACCAAAGAGAAGGTGCCTAGTACTGGAGTGGTGAAGGAAAGGAGACACCTCTCGTCCTCAGTCCACTCCACAGCAGGGCTAACAGTCAGTTCAGGAAAATCATACTGACATCCTTCCCTCCACTGGGCGATGACAGATGGGTCATTCAGGAAGCTCAGGTAGTCAGCTGGCAGTGACCTCTGCACCTCTGCCATCACCTGATTCAGCAGACGACCGGACCTGATCCCCGTCCTCTCACTCACAGCCGCTGTTCCAGTTCTCATGAGGTGGCCCAGCTTCGTGTATCCTGCAGCCACCAAACGAGAGCGCAATACTGCTGAAGATGAAAGAGCTGATGGTAAAAAGGGGTTAAAGAACAATGCTCCTCAAACAACCACATACCAACAGGCGTATCAGTAGTCCTTGAGGCAGAAAACACCTTCCATGCTTCCAGCATCGATCTATAAAAAGGTGTAAGTCCTGCCAACACAGCCTCTGGCGTTGTCATAAGGAACAGGTGTTTATCAAACCCCATTCCCCCAGCTCGTCTCAAAAGGACAGTGGCAGTATTCTTCCAAGCAATTGCTCCATGGAACAGTAGTCGTTGGGCAGCTTGCAGACGAAAGGCCATGATCCTGGACCTAATATCCACCAGACCTTGTCCTCCCTCTTGTACTGGCAGGTATAGGACAGCTGATCGAACCCAGTGTTGTCCTGACCAGAAAAAAGTCACCAACATCCTCTGCACCTCCTGTACCAGTCCTGCAGGTGGCTGTAAAACACTGAATCTGTGCCACAGGGTGGAGGCGACCAAGTTATTTGCCACCAACACCCTCCCCCTGTAGGACAACCGGGGTAGCAACCATTTCCATTGAGACAATTTGGTGCACACTCTCTCCACTATACCCTCCCAGTTCTTCTTCTGAAAGTCATCTGTCCCCAGGAAGACACCCAAAATTTTCAACCCCCTCTCTGCCCCACTTCAAAGTCCCAGGCAGACGTGGTAGCCTTTCCATCTGTTCCTGGCCTACCCAAAGAGCCTCACTCTTTTCCCAGTTAACTTTGGCAGAAGAAGCCTTTCATACAAGTGAGGGACTCAACTAAAACCTGAACATCTTGACTGTTTTGATAAAAAACCGTTACATCATCAGCATAGGCAGATAGTGCTGCCCCTGGACCCCTAAATCCCTGTGCAGCTTGAAAGCCAGCTAATCTCCTCCTCAGACAGATGAGCAGCGGTTCAATAGCTAGACTGTATAGCTGACCTGATAAAGGACAGCCTTGCCTAATTCCTCTTGTGACTGGGATTGGTCTGCTCAACCACCCCCCACCTTAACCAAACATGCAGCACCAGAATACAGTAAACGCACCAAACTTAAAAACCATCCCCAATGCCAAAAGCCTAAGCACATTAAAAAGGTACTGGTGATCAACACGGTCAAAGGCTTTCTCTTGATCAAGAGAAACCAGCCCAACACTCTTATCAGAACCCTTACAGCAATCCAATACATCTCGCACAAGGAACAGGTTGTCCATTATCGATCTATCAGGAATGCAGTAAGACTGGTCCCTATGCACTACCAAAGACAAGTAATTTTTGAGCCTATTGGCTAAACATTTGGAAAGGATTTTATAATCAGTGGTTAAAAGAGCAACTGGTCTCCAATTCTTTAAAAGAGAGAGGTCCCCTTTTTAGGCAACAAAGACAACACAGCACGCTGACATGAACCAGGTAAAACCCCTTCCCTGATGCATTCACAGATTACTTCATAAAAATCTCCCCCAATACAGTCCCAGAAATGCTTATAAAAGTCAGAGGGCAGGCCGTCAATGCCTGGAGACCGTCCTGTGTTGAGCTGTCCAACCGCAGCAGTGAGGTCTTGCAGAGTCAGATGAGAGTCTAGCTCATCTCTGGATTCAGAGTCCAGTTGTGGGAGTCCTTGAAGAAGCTGCGCAACACAGTCAGAGTCACAGAGTTCTGCAGTGTAAAGAGCAGAATAAAAATCCACTGCATGTTTACGCATGTCTGTGACATCAGTAGACACTCGTCCATCCGGAAGGCGAAGACAGACCATCTGCTTGTGCTGTGCTACTGAACGTTCCAGATTGAAGAAGAAGGCACTTGGAGCGTCCATGTCTGCGAGTGTAGTAAAACGGGATCTCACCAAGGCCCCCTTCACCCTCTCATTCAAGTAGACACTGAGCTCCTTCCTCTTCTGCTGCAACTTTCCCAACGTAACAGGGTCATGAGTAGCAGTCAGTCCAAGCTCCAGAGAGCGTATCTCCCTCTCGAGAGCCTGGACAGTCAGTCTTGCTCTTGTACTTGAATTGGCTGTATACTGTTGACAAAACATTCTTATCTGTGCCTTGCCCATTTCCCACCACTGTCTCAAATTTTCAAAATCAACTTTTTTGGTCTTCCACTGTTCCCAAAAGCACATGAACCTTGCACAGAAAACTGCATCATGCAACAGCTTCACATTAAAATGCCAATATGAAGGTGCACTAGAAATGCGTGACAAGCTCACCGTGATAGAAACCAAGTGGTGATCAGAAAACCCCACAGGAGAAATGACAGCCTCAGTGATTCTACTGCCAAGATGTGTAGACACATAAATTCGGTCTAGCCGAGCAGCACTAATTCTATTATCAGAGACCTTGACCCATGTATACTGTCTAGCTACAGGATTCTTAACTCTCCACATGTCCAACAACCTAAACTGTTTCAGGAGCTTAGACAAGCACACAGAAGACTGTATGTGAGGTTCTTCAGAAGTACGGTCTATGGTAAAATCCACCGTACAGTTCCAGTCCCCCCCAATGACAGTAAATCCATCATTAGCACACCGACTTAAAGTAGTGTGCAAAGTGTTAAAAAATGCAACACGGTCATGCCCCACATTGGGGGCATAGACGTTCACAAAGGAGAACTGAATGCCTTTAATTTCAACCCTGACCACTACAAGACGACCTTTCACGACCTCTTCTGTGTGCAAAATCTTAACCCCTGATGAAGGACAGAAAAGAATCGCCACCCCAGCACTCAAATTGGTGCCATGACTCAACACATGCTGTCCCTCCCACCACATAGCCCACTCAACTTCATTATCCACATCACTGTGTGTCTCCTGAAGGAAAGTAACATGCAGTCTTTTCTGCTGTATAGTATCAGATACTAAAGCACGTTTCAGTCTATCTCTACCCCCATTTATGTTAAAAGAACCTACTCTTAAAACTTCCATAAATAGACCTAAGAGAAGAGCCAAGAGAAAGAACAGAAACATAGGAGGTAGAGACACCACGTGACGCATGATCAATTTATCACAGATGACTGGAAGACTTTTTCTT